ACTAAACAAAAATGCATATATTTTTTCTCAGTAGAAACTGTTTCAGTGTAGCTCTTTATTGTCCTTGTTCTTAAAAAGTGCTGCTCAGACAACTTGTTTGAGATCATAACAACAAACTGGTAACTAGAGGCTTGTAATACTCTTAAGATCAACCCACCAGCAGTAGGTTAATACGTATTTTTGCTATTCACAGATGCCCAGGTGTCTGATTTTTTTTCTTCTGGTGTCCAAAGAATAATTTGCATTACCAATAGTTTGATCTTCAAATTACATTTACAAGGAAACAATGTTATCTCCAGAATGACAAATCTGTCATCTGCAATGACTGTCTAAAAATATTTTTTTGCATAGACAGGGAATGCAGTAATGCATCTCTGAGCTGAAATGGTACAAATAGTCCTATTTGATGTTCTGATTATCTTTTTTAAATTTTATAACATTAATTTTTACTAATCTCCTGAAACTCTAAGTAGAACCCTGTTGCAGATATAATTCCGGTCAGTGGAGTGAAAAGCATGCTTTTTTGATGGGGGGGGGGGGGGAGGGGGAAAGACTTTAAAACTTTCTGTTGCAATAAGAAAATAGTTTAAAAGACTTAAAAAATATAAAACTTTATCTTCTGCATTTTTTCAAGTAATAGCTAATTGGAGTCACGACTTTTGACAGTCCATCTCACTTCGTTAAGTGCAATTCCACAATTTATATGGGGCTGCTCCAAAAGTAATGCCTCCTATTTTATTTTATTGGTCCACAATGTTAGAGGCAGATGGTGGTGGTATGGCAGTAGAGACTGAACTTCAGATTATGGATCATTTACAGTGTTGATAATTTTTTTGGCCCCTTTTTTTTTTTTTTTTTTTCATCCTGTCACACTCAGTAGCATGGTTGTAAATGCATGGAAGGTTTTGTTCTCTTAATTCTGTATCATTCACTAAATTGTTTAAAAATAAAAAGTGCTCTAGGCTAGGCATGTTTTGTGTTCTGAAATTTCAGACTGAAAGTTTGAAATTCCCACAGTAAGTTCAGGTTTTGCTCTTATGTACTAAGAAAGATTACAGGAAAAGGCCATCTGGAGTCTTTCATGTTCTTGTACCACAGAATAGGCCCTCCCATCCATACTGAGGTACAAAAATGCTAAAAAGTGTTTTGAAAAACCAGGGGCTCTTCAGATGAGTTTATGCTGGGTTTCCTGCAGAATAATCAACAAACTTCTCACTAAATTGCTCAGAGTGCCTGAACAAATACAATATAGACAAACAGAAAATGTTACTTTTATATCACTAATTGGTCATGAGTTCATATTTTTCATGAACTGATACAAAACAAGCATTCTTTGATCTCTGAAGGTCTTTAACAATTCTTATATTGACTAACTTCTGATTAAATTTGAAGTCTTGATTATGCAGACAGAGCATTTATAATGAATAAGAGATAGTTTTTCAAAGAGGATCAGTAGCAGATTTTTCATCTAGGCTTTCTTAGAAAATAAAAGATTAACTTACTGCCATCTACTAAGTTTGTTAATTTCCAAGATAGTAATTTAAAATGTGCTGTGTCTTTGGAGCTTGTTTTTGAGTAGCCATTTAATGACTTGTTAAGTGGCATAGACTGATGTGTTTGAGGGTGGAAAATGTTCTTTATAATTAGCAAGCAGAAAAGAGAGCAAAATTTGTGGCAAATTCACTGTAGCTAAACAAACACAAAAAAATTCATTTTAGCCCAATCTAGCATTATAGCACTATCATTATAAACAGAAGGCTGCACCTGTTTTTCTGGCCTTAAAAGTGCAGTGTGTTTTGGAAAGCCAGGAAGAGGCAGGATTAGTATTTTTTCTGTTCAAATGTAAGCTGACTTACACCAAGTTCTGATTTAATAAACAATATGAAACAATTCAGGCCTGCTCATTCCTGTTACTGTCATTTCTCAGAATTGTTGGTGTTGTAATTTCTGTTTTTCCTGGAGAAAGGGTAGAAGCATGTCTATTTAACCCTACCAAACTCATTTATTAGACACTGATTTCTTTCCTGTGAATTACTTGTCATTCTGATTACTCAGCAATAAAACTGAAGAAGTGTACACAGGGCCACAATAAACCTCAGGGAAAATAATTGTTTTTCCACTTCAATTTCTTCTGTACTCTCAGTTTGTATCTAATATAAACCACTCAATCGTCACATATATGGTAACCTTACCAAAATACAAATTGTAATATTGATTAATTAAAAACAGATGATGATTTTTCAGAGTCCAGTTTAATTCTACGTAGGTGACATTAATGTGCGTAGTAATTTCAAAAGGTAACATTCTAGTACATGCATATGGCACAAATCAGAAGATGAGATAGAAATCGGGGTGAATTGGGTCTGTGTAAGATCATATACCGGACACCTTGGCAGGCTTCTAACTATTTTAAAGGAATGTTGTGAAGCGTAGCTATTTCCTATGACAGAAGGATGGACCAATCTTTCCTCATCTCCCCCGTGTTTCCATGTACAGGAGAGTGCACAGGACACCTCTGGACAAAAATAATGCAAAAATAAATCACTTGTATATGTCAAAAGGAAATACTCTATTTCTAAATTATATTATAGTCTATCAAAAGTCAATAATATGTTAAAATACATATTTTTTAAAAATAACTGTGTATCATATTAACAACTATTTTTTTAATTATTGTTTCCAGCACCAGAAGTGTGGGTTGCCTTATATTAAGGTCTGTTAATATTATTCCTTAGAACATGGTACCCAATTAATGCAAAGTTTATGTAACAAAACTTATGTCATTAGTGTAAATTATCAAAATTACTTACTCTTTTGAGTATTTTCCTTTCAATAGAGTATGTAGATAATGAGATTGGTTTGAATTAAAATTGGTAATATAATTTAATTTGATGGACTGAAGTATGTCAATGGTTTATGTGCTAGTTTGGCCCGGTTTCGTGACCAGTGGGGCAGAGGGATCCATGGACCCACTCCCTGGGAAAAGGGGGAAGAGGGGAAAAGAGAAGGGAGATGGGCCTAAAAGCAAAACTGAGAAGGAAAGTTAATAAGATCGGAATGCAAGGTAACACAATACAACTGGAAGTGTGGCTAATAAATCAAATAAAATGAGAGAGAGAGTGCCCCTAACCCAAAGCCTTACTCTAATGCTGAAGGCGAGATGTCTACGGAGCACACACATTGCTGAGACAAGCAGAAAAAGGGGCATCTTGTGATCTGCTAACAGGTTTATCTTTCCCTCTGAATGGAAAACAGAAATGCAAAGTCTACTGGGGTATGTAGTTCTTTTCTGAGAACCAGGTACCTGGAAAATCGACAGTCCATGGAATTGGAACATTAACTCTTTAACTCCCAGTGCTTTTATGTTATGATGTTATGATGTGGAATACTATCATGGTTTTATTATTTTTGGTTATCAGTATTCCACACCATAACATCATGTAATGCACTAGGGATTTGACTTCTGATGCTCAAGTTCCGGGTGCCTGTCCAACAGAGAAGAACTACATTTCCCCAAGAGGCTTTGCAGTCAGTGAGGCGATACAACTCTGTGCAAGGTCACCTGATGCTCTCTTCCTCGCCTGCTCTTCTTTGCCTGCGCTTCTCCGTATGCTCTTCTCCATCTGCTTTTCTTCATCGGCTCAACTGGACTGCACTTCTCACCTCAGCATTGTGGTGAGGCCTATCCACCATTCAGACACACTCTCTCTCATTATATTTTGCTGATACCATATTTAATAAATTAGTTTGTTCCACCTCAGATCATTGCCGCTGTTTTCAATTATTTTGGGGTCCCCTGTTTCCCTTTTCCGGAAGCATGGATCCACAGATCCCTCTGCCCCGCTGACCATGGAACCGGGCCAAACCAGCCTGTAAACTGTTGACAAATACCGATAAAAAAAATCATAAAACAGTGACATTTTCTTTTCAGTGGAATTGTAGGTAATGAGATTGATTTGAATTAAAATGGGTAATATAATTTAATTTCATGGACTGAAGTATGTTCTTTAATACTGATGGTCTTCTATTGAATATGTATCTTGTTTTATATGTACCTGGTTGAAGAAAATGATGTAATCAGCATCATCTGTGAAGCCCTCCATTTTCAGCTCATAATATTTTTTGTAAAGAATGTCTGTTTCATTAATTGTTTTGAAGTGCATATTTCCTCAAAGGCTAGTACTGGTGGACAGATTTTCTTATTTTCAGTAAAGGTCTGAATCAGAAGTCCTGAACTAAATGAAATAAAACTAGTAAAATTGAACTATACCTTGAAGAAAAAAAATGCATTTTTTTTCCTATTTCTATTTTATTTTTCAGTTTACAGATTGTAGACATCATCATCTTTGCAGGCTATATTTACTTTGCATTAGTGAGCCTTTTGGTTAAAAAACATCCCTGCAATTTATCAATGTGGAAATACTCCCAATTTACTATAAAATAAGTAAACTAGAGTTTCAATTTTCTTCCCAAGTTGGTGTAAAATGAATGTGAATTTGAAGAAATGAGTTAGTGCAGGTGCTCTTAGTGTCGGTGGAAAAATAGAGTTGCTTTTTCCATTCTTTTGTTTTGTGAAGTCATGTTAAAAATTAAACAGAAAAACAGGTAATTTGTTTAATTCTGTAGAATAATTTTGTTCTAACGTGCTACAAATAAGAAAGTAATAATATTTTGGCATTGAAGACCTAGCTGTACTGTCATCTTTATCAATAATGTACTGCACTTCTATTTGTTGTCTTTGTTTATGTTTTAATAACTTTATCAGAGGAAAGAAACGCACTATTCCTGTGCCCATGCTTTTTTTTTTTTTTTTGTTTAAAGGCAAAAAAACCTCACATATTTCAGTGTTAGAAGCCTTATACCTTGTCCCTTCTTGTATTTCTGGTGATGAGAGTTTTGAAGGATGCAATAATTGCATTTATTAGCTTCCAGAGGTTTGACATGGTGTCTAGGCAACTGGTCACGCCTTGCCAACATGGAACTTCTTTTGTGATTTACAGGCTGTCAGCAGCCAGCCATCCTTTATCACCTCACTGCGACATAGATTCAAGTACCTCTGAGGAATTCTACCAGGCTGTTCACCACGCTGAACAAACCTTCAGAAAAATGGAGAGCTACCTGAAGCAACAGCAGCTCTGTGATGTTATCCTGATTGCTGGGGATCGCAAGATACCTGCTCACAGGTAGGATGTAAACATTTTACATCAAATGTTTGTGATCTACTTATTTCATAGAACAGGATTTTCTGTGGCTCCTTATGCCTGCTTCCTTCTTGCCTCCCATCACAAGTGTAAATGACTGTAGAAGGTGCTATCTGAAAGTTCAGTCTTCGAAGGTATTATGCAGGATCTCTCTGACACGTACAGTAGAATAATAATACTGAGCAACAACTTCTCATGTTTCCTTTCAATGTACTGAAAAATGGCTTAATAACTTAGAATAAGTATAAAAATTAATTTCAGTAAATATAAAGACTATATGTCATTATCATTTTCAAAATGGCTTAAGAGTATTAAAATAGCTAGTATGTAAGAAACTGTGCTTGATTTTGGAACGTAATTAGAGCTTAAAATGGTTATAGTCATCTAAGATTTTGGTCTTTGCCATATCCTTTGACTTTGTACATGCAAATGAAAATCCACTCCAAGAGTTCATATTGAAATACACAAAATGCTTTTAAATTTCCAGTTAGCGAGTATTTTTGCATTTAAACTCTGTGTAAGGCTACAGTCTAAGGGTGACCTCTTCCTTGCCTGTGCCCTAGTTTATCTCCTGAAATAGTAAACGTTCATTAAAGTATTTAAATAATCCAAATATTTAAAATAAATAAGAAAAATCATCAATAACAGATTGATCTAGGTAGCTTGCAGCACATGTGAAGTAGAGTCCTCGTAGATTCAGATCAGCAGATGTAATAATAAACATAGAAATCTGTCTCCTTTTGGCATTTATCATTCTGGAGAATTTGTTTCTGTTCTCCTGTCTTGCCCTGATATGCTCGGATTTCTAGATGCCAAAAAAGTTCCCAGTAATTTCTACCCACTGAGCTAGCAACTAGCTTTGCTCTTGTGTTCCAGGCTTTTAGCCACTGTTGAACCTATTATGCATCTGATGCTTTATGCACCCCTGACAGTTGTCACCTAATGCTGTTTTTATCTAGAACACTAAGGTCTTTCCCTTAGTAAAGTAGACAGACAATTAAACTAAATTTCAATCTTTCCGTCAATTGGCATTTATGGTGTTCCAAGACGAAGAAAACACAAGCGATGAAGACCTTCTAATCTGTGTCCAATGTTATGAGAGCAGCTCTAAAAGTAATGTATCCTTTTTTATGATGTAGGCCCATAACATCAGACGTGGATGGTGGTGACATGGTAGTGGGGGTTGAACCTTCCCACTAATATTCCATTATGTTTTGTTGGCGTGTGACAGATGGCAGCTGAGGGGCAGTCTGACAAAATGTCACCTGACATGGAAGTGCTATAAATCAAAGATGTGTCACTGAATTCCTCCATGCAGAAAAAAATGGCACCCACTGATGTGCACTGATGCCTGCTGAACACTGAAGAAGACCAAACAGCATATGTGAGCACACTGAGGTGGTAGGAGGCACATTTCAGCATTTGCTAACAGTGACTGTGGGTCACTTTCACTGGTGCAGATATTTATGGGTGTGGCATGCAGGCTCTTGTTCATCACTGGCAAAAATGCATAGTTAATGGTGGTGATTGTGTTGAAAACTAGTGTTTTGTAGCTGAGAACATGCTCTGTCCAATAGTGTTACTGTGTTCTTTGTACCTGTTGTAGTTTCCATGGAAACAAATAGGAATTGCATACATTCCTGAATGAACAAAAATTGGTAGAAATAATGATAAATTGGTTGTTCCTCTCTGACAGCTTCTTGGTCTACTTTTGCATTTCATATTTTCCAGCACAGATGAGAAAAAAAAATGTAAAACAAATGCAATGCCTGAATCTACACTCTTAAACTGTTAAGAAAACATACTCACTAGATACACATAAATATTGTTAATGCTTTGCCTTGTTGAATATAGATTACTTAAAATACTATTTTAAAATAGTATATAGAAATGCTATTTTTAGCAGTATATTTTTTGCCATTTTTATTTATTTTGGTAGAGTGCATAGTTTGTAGAAAAGGATACGGAGGAAACTGCAGTATGTATATTTTTAATTAATCTGGTTCACTCTTCCCACTGTTTTTAAGACAGCTGTGCATGTTTGTATTCCTGACTGTCAGTAGTAAATTTAATTTCACCTTTGTCATTTCAGTTCTACAGCATATCTAAGTCCTTCTGGTGTTGAGCAAATACTTCAATAAGGATAGGACTGATAATGAAATAATAAGCAAAATCATATATATTTTTTTTCTTCTAATAAACCTTCAGACAACTTTCCATTGATCTACTCCTCTCCAGTCAAAAGACTGGCTGTTAAAAAATTGGTCAAATAACTTTTGAATTGTGTATAATTGAAAATACTGTGTTTTGAATAAATTGTAATTTTGTCCAACAAGAAAAAAATGAAGAGAAGGGTTTTCTGAATTTTATTTTTGTTTTCTACTATTTGTTTTGATTTAGATAGTTGTGACTGGACAAGCACAGAAAAATGGCTTTCTGCTTGCTTTTAGCTTGGCTATTACAATCCTATAATATAATTTAATTTGGAAGAGACCTTCTAGAGTCAGATTCAACAGCCTCTGTTGAAAGCAGGCCCAAGTCCAAAGTTAGATTAGCCTGTTGAGGCTCATTAAATATTGGCATTTACAAAGGTTCCTCTCTTGGCAGCCTCTTCCAGTCTATGATTATCCTCACTGCCTTTAGTGATCCAGCATGTATGTAGTTTTTATGAAGATTTGCTTTGTGATTTCTTTGATCAGAAGAACAAAACTGGGATACATCTTGGGAGGGAAGTTACATTCTTTTCCAGTCTCTGGAAACATCTTACAGTTGTCATGGTCTGACAAAGATAAGAGAGAGCGTTTTCTCTGTGACATTGTTGAGCTAACTTAAGCCACTCCTCTTTGAATATATTCTCTCTGGTCCCATGGACTCTTCCGATTTACTTGTACTGCTCCCTAAGTACTTTTTCCTCTGCTGTAAGGGATACTTTGTACCCCATAGATCTTGCCACTAGGCACTGGAACATAGAGGTCCTGAAAGTATGAAGAAAACAGCAGCAACAACAACCACAACAAAAAGACTGAGCCTAAGAAAGTTTTAAGTAGTGCAGCCTTTTCTGAGTCCTTTGCTGCTGCTCTGTTGAGCAGTGGTAAAAAAAAAAATTACCTAGTCTTATTGGCAATAAAATTAAAGAAATTCTTTCTCCCTTCATATCCTTTGTTAACTTTCATCTGCACCTAATCTTTTTTCTTGATTAATTCAATTTCTGCATCCTGGGGCAGTGCCTCTGCATTTCCCCCAGGTTGTGCATCCTTGCTGAGAACTTCTGTGTACTTCTTCCTTTTGAGTTCAACCAGGAATCACGTCTGACAACTGGGGTTGTAATTTCCCATTTTACTGACTGCTATCAGGATTTGTTGTCCTAAACTGTTGTCTTATGGTCACTGCAGCTATGTTTGACACCAGTATCACAGTTCCGGCACTATTTTCCCCCAGATTATTCAGAAATAGAATCAACAAAGTGCCTCCTCTAGTTAATGTTTTACACAAAGCAGGATAGACATTATTGATATTGTATTCTGTAATCCTGCTTGTAGGATAATCAGTATTTGTGGAATTTATATATTCAGCAGTATATATTAAGTGGAACATTTCCTGTGCAAAGTTTATAAAATCTTATCCTGGATAAAACAAAATCTTATCAATAAAAATCCACCTAAAACTATTTTATTTGAGGTAAATAAAAACATATTACAAACCATAGTGCATAATAAAGATTGTGATCTGCAATCTGTAATCTCTGTTATTTCCAGTCTCATTTAGTCTTTTTTTCTCTCTTCTCCAATCACTTACAGAGGAATAATATCAGATAAGCTCTGGCCTTAATGCTGCCAGGTTACTTTTTGTCACTTGTATTTATCTAATTTTCATTATTTTCTATATTTTCATTTCTCATAAGTAAAGGTATAATGTTTCACTGGAAGGCAGATCATAAAACATTATCATGGAGGTCTAGTTTTCCACTTGAAGGCATCACGCCAAACTCTTAGTCTTATAGCTGCTCTTCATTGTTCTGGTGACTCAAACAGCTTTAAAGTGTCCTGAGCTGTTTTGCCGGCTCATGAATTGCAATGATGAGAAGGCAATCACAAGAGATTCTGAGAAAATATGTGAACTTCTGTAACAGAAAGGAGTTGAAATTTAAATAAAGATGGGGAAAAAAAAAAAAAAAAAAAAAAAAAAAAAGTAAAACCTAGTTCCATTGCTGCTTCGCTATAGCATGTAGAGACAATAATCAAATGTAAATACGTAATATATTTTAAAAAAGGGAAATGCTGAAATAATATTTTCACTTTTTTTCAGTTATACTATTGCACTGATAACAGTCCACCTTCATTTTAAAACTTTATTAAGATGGAATTTGTAATTTCTCCATTAATTCTGTAGATACACAGTGTTGTGTGTTTTTTTGTTTTGCTTTTTCTGTATTTGCTATTTGGACTAAAACTTCTTAAAGACAAGAAATTTGTCATAACTTCAGTATGGAATAAAAAGAACTCAGGCACTGCTATTACAAAACAAACAAATTAAAAAAAATCTTTGTAGTTGGCACTTTCTTCCTATACACTGTTTGCAATCAACCAAATGCAATGTAAAAGAAGATTTGTAATCAAGCAATAATTCCATGGGTCAACATGAAAATAAAAATGGAGATTTGCCTAAAATAATTCAGATGTGCTGAGTGAAAACAGCTCACTTGAATTGCAGTGCCCTCCAGTACTCCAGTTTCAATGCTATACAGCTTCTGAATCAAGTTTGAAAAAATACCGCCAAGAAAGCAGGTAAAGTCAATGCAAATAGTAGATAAAACTTTATGATTTGTATTGGAGACTTTCTTAAAAATTCCAGCCATGATTGCCTGATGCTACAGGCAGATATAACTCAGGACAACGTTTAAGCTATTAGTTAGATGTTGTGTAGGAATGGTGCACAAATAATTTACGGAGACTCAAAGGAGGAAAAAGAGTAAGTGCTATAAG